GCAGGACCCCCACACTATGACCTCCCCCAACCCCAGACGGGGCTGTTTTGCTGGGCTCTTTTGTTGCTTATTAGAGAAGTGCCTTTTCTCTGCAGTTTAAAACAGTAACAACACAATCTCAGGTCCTGGGACATATCTTTGACTTAGATGCCAGTAATTCTCAGTGAAACCTTTCAGTGAGTTGCCGATTTGAGGGTGACCTCGGGTTTGCCTGAATGGTGCCTGCTGCCTGAGCGTCCGGCAGGACTTCTCACTCAGGTGGGGCCTGGTCAAGACTGTCACAGGCCACCTGTCCTGGGAGCGTCGGCTTCGTGCCAGTCTGTGCTGGTCATTGGATCTCACCTGAACGAGCAGGACATGGTCCATCCCTGTGGCATCCAGGTCTGGCCTGAGGGTTGAAGCTGATCATGGCCCCGGGAGGGAGCACAGTGGTGCCTGTCACTGCTGAAACGCTGGTCTGCAGGTGACGTGGGTGCCCTCAATTCTTTATCTTTTTTTTTTTGAGAAGGAGTCTTGCTCTGTCACCCAGGCTGGAGTACAGTGGTGCAATCTCGGCTCACTGCAACCTCTGCCTCCTGGGTTCAAGCGATTCTCCTGCCTCAGCCTCCCAAGTAGCTGGGACTACAGGCATGTGCCACCACACTCTGCTAACTTTTTGCATTTTTAGTAGAAACGGGTTTCACCGTGTTAGGCGGGGTGATCTCTATCTCCTGACCTCAAGATCAACCTGCCTTGGCCTCCCAAAGTGCTGGGATTACAGGCATGACCCACCACGCCCAGCTGGGTGACCTCGTTTCTAGGCATAGGACAGAGCCATCTGGGGTGGCCAGGCTGGGCCGGGCTGGCTGCACTGGGCCCTGTCCACTGGAAAGGGTGGCCTTGGGGCTTGGCCGGTGTCCATTGCTCCACCCTTCAGGGTCTGTTCTGATGCTGTGTGGACTCTACCCTGAAGGGCGGCCAGGCCTGTGGCTACCTGTTGGCTTCTGTCTTGGTTTCCCCCCGGTCACCCCTGCTTCACCCCCACTTCACTCCTGCAGCTGGACAGGGTCACACCAGTGTGGCTGCCCAGGCCCATGGGTGCGGAGAGGGCTGGGGCATCCGTTAGAAACGAACACAGACACCTGATGTCCCGTAGATCAGGGTGGCGTTGATTTTGAACTGGCGGAAAAGCACAATGGGCCTCACAAAATGTGACCCAATCTGGGGAAGGAGGTGTCGCCCTCCACTCTTTCAGAAGCAGAGTTAGTGGATGTTTCAGAAACAACTTTTGTCCCATTCACGTATGTCAGAGCCTAAACCACAATAGCCTAAACCACAAGGTTGCCAAGCCCCATTATGCGTGTATCCATGCACCTCTGCCTATGTGTACGTGTGTGCATGTATGTGGGGCATGTATGTGTGTGTGTGTGCATGTGAGTGTGTGTCTCTGTGTGGTGGGGGCATGTGTGTGGTGTGTGCCTGCGTGTGTGTGGTGTGTGCCTTCATGTGTGTCTGTATGTGCCTGCGTGTGTGTCTGTGCCTGCTTATGTCTGTGCCTGTGTGTGTCTGTGTGTGCCTGCGTGTGTCTGTGCGTCTGTGTGCCTGCATGTGTCTGTGTGTGCCTGCGTGTGTCTGTGTGTGCCTGCGTGTGTGTGCCTGCGTGTGTGTCTGTGTGTGCCTGCGTGTGTCTTTGTGTGCCTGCGTGTGTCTGTGTGTGCATCTGTGTGTGCCTGCATGTGTCTGTGTGTGCCTGCATGTGTCTGTGTGTGTGTGCTTGCGTGTGTGTCTGTGTGTGCCTGTGTGTGTGTGCCTGTGTGTGTGCCTGCATGCGTGCATGTGCCTGCGTGTGTGTGTGTGCCTGCGTGTGTCTGTGTGTGCCTGCGTGTGTCTGTGTGTGCCTGCGTGTCTGTGTGTGCGTCTGTGTGCCTGCATGTGTCTGTGTGTGCCTGCGTGTGTGTGCCTGCGTGTGTGTCTGTGTGTGCCTGCGTGTGTGTCTTTGTGTGCCTGCGTGTGTCTGTGCATCTGTGTGTGCCTGCGTGTGTCTGTGTGTGTCTGTGTGTGCCTGCGTGTGCCTGTGTGTGTCTGTGTGTGCCTGTGTGTGTGCCTGCGTGCGTGCGTGTGCCTGCGTGTGTGTGTGCCTGCGTGTGTGTGCCTGCGTGTGTCTGTGTGTGCCTGTGTGTGTCTGTGCCTGTGTGTGTGCCTGCGTGTGTGTGTGTGCCTGCGTGTCTGTGTGTGCCTGCGTGTGTCTGTGTGTCTGTGTGTGCCTGTGTGTGTGCGCGCCTGCGTGTGCCTGTGTGTCTGTGTCTGTGTGTGTGCCTGCGTGTGTGTGCCTGCATGTGTCTGTGTGTGCCTGCGTGTGTGTCTGTGTGCCTGCGTGTCTGTGTGTGCCTGCGTGTGTCTGTGTGTGCCTGCGTGTGTGCCTGCGTGTGCCTGCGTGTGTGTGCCTGCATGTGTGTGTCTTTGTGTGCCTGCGTGTGTCTGTGCATCTGTGTGTGCCTGCGTGTGTCTGTGTGCCTGCGTGTGTCTGTGTGTGCCTGTGTGTGTCTGTGTGTGCCTGTGTGTGTCTGTGTGCCTGTGTGCGTGTGTACCTGCATGTGCCTGCATGTGCCTGTGTGTGCCTGTGTGTGTCTGTGTGTGCCTGTGTGTCTGTGTGTGCCTGCGTGTGTCTGTGTGTGCCTGCGTGTGTGTGTGCCTGCGTGTGTCTGTGTGTGCCTGCGTGTGTGCCTGTGTGTGTCTGTGTGTGCCTGTGTGTGCCTGCGTGTGTGTGTGCCTGCATGTGTCTGTGTGTCTGCGTGTGTCTGTGTGTGCCTGTGTGTATCTGTGACTGTATCAGTGTGTGCCTGCGTGTGTGTGGTGTCAGGTCCTGTGGTTCCTGCGAGGATCCTGCTTGTATTCTAAGCACAGTCACGGGTGCTTCGGGGGCTGAAGCACTGAGACTTCTGCTGCACAGGACCCCTCTTGTGTGGGGAAGGGATCACGGTACAGCTTGGGGAGGTGGGTTGGAAGAAGACATGGCCCTGGGCAGGAAAGCAGGTGGCAGGCTTGGGAGGCACCACGGTGGGAGCGGACAGGTTTGCTGACAGTTGGGGGTGGGATGTTGGGAAGGATGGGAGTCAGAGCAGCAGCTCTGGCTGAGAGGGGCGGTTTCCCGGTAGCGGGGCTGCGGGGGAGAGCTCTGCTGGGACGGATGAGACGTGAGATGCCCCTTGCATGGCTGTATTCCTCAGGTCCTGGCAGGAAGCAGATGACGCCCAGGGCGTGGCTGAGAGGTCACCCAGGGGCTGTTTCTTGAAGTAGGCAGGGGAGGTGGGAGAGCCGGGGAGGCGGGGGCACAGCTGACTCCATCCTGCGTCTGTAGGGACGAGGGGGGTGTCTGTTAGGAGAGATGGGGCATGGAGAGCAGGGCCACCTCCCAACAGAAGTGAGGACTACAGACGGAGCTCCTGGGCCTAGCAGTGGGTGTCCGTGTGGTCACAGTCCCTGTGTCCTGCTGGGGTCACCCACTGGACCCAAGAGGAGTCAGAGAGTGGGGGTCCTGGAGAGGCAGCTTCACAGGCTAGCCCCTGGCACGCAGGACACAGGACCCTCAGGGTCACCATGGCCTGGTCCCCGGAGCTCCAGAGAGAGGGCTGGGCCAGTGATGAGAGCTTGGGGGTTAGCAGCATGTGATGGCCTTGGGGGCCCAGAAAGGAACAGAAGGAAGAGGGCAGGGGCTGTGGGTACACCCCAGAGTTGTGAGGCCAGAAGATGGGGGTTGTGGGGAGCGTGGAGCAGCCAGCTGAGCGGGAGCCCTGAGCCACGAGAGTGATCTCACAGGGGCTGAAATGCTGCAGAGGGGTCAGGAGTCCAGCACGGGCCTGATGCTGCACAGCTGGGTGGGGGCACCAGAGCCCCGAGACAGCAGGGAAGGGGGCCAGGGCACCGCCGTAGACCCAGGGCAAGGTCTAGATTTCAGCCTCTTTCTCACCCTGTGAACAGAGTCTGAGCACCCACCGCATGCCAGCTTGTGGATGGTTAACAGTGTGGACAAAGGTTTAAGCACCTGGATGAAGACAAATGGCCCAGAGTCAGAAGTTCCCCATAACCTAGAGCTCAGATGTCACCCTGGGGTGCAGCAGCTCAGATTTGTTTCTGGGTTTGCTGAGAACATCATGGGACTCAAGTGCAGCCCCTGCGTGTGGGTGAGGACACAGGGAATGGGGCAGGAGCTGCCTGAGCACACCACGGGGTGTGGCTCCATCCCCACTCCCTGCAGCCCCCACCTACTCCGTGTGGGGCTGTGTCTGAGGGGAAGAGTGCCCCCTTCCTGGTGGGTTCACCTGGGCTGTGTCTGAGGGGAAGGGTGCCCCCTTCCTGGTGGGTTCACCTGGGCTGTGTCTGAGGGGAAGAGTGCCCCCTTCCTTGTCGGTTCACCTGGGCTGTGTCTGAGGGGAAGAGTGCCCCCTTCCTGGTGGGTTCACCTGGGCTGTGTCTGAGGGGAAGAGTGCCCCCTTCCTTGTCGGTTCACCTGGGCTGTGTCTGAGGGGAAGAGTGCCCCCTTCCTGGTGGGTTCACCTGGGCTGTGTCTGAGGGGAAGAGTGCCCCCTTCCTGGTGGGTTCATCCGGGCAGTGACGGAGGGGAAGAGTGTCCCCTTCCTGGTCGGTTCACCCGGGCTGTGTCTGAGGGGAAGAGTGCCCCCTTCCTGGTGGGTTCACCTGGGCAGTGACGGTCTTCCCTCCCTGTGAGGCCTGATCCTGGACTCAGTGCACAGACTTCCGTGGAATCTTCCGTGACTGTGTCCCCAGTCTCACTTTCCAGGCTGGGTGTCCCCTCTTTGGGTTCTCCTGCAGATCCCACAGCTGCATATTCCCACTCTCCACCAATCAGGTTTGATTTCAGGTTTTAGTAGCCGTGTTAAGGGGTAATTCCGTAATAGAAGGTAACCCCCAAGTTTCAGAAAAATTCCCCAAATGCACATTCGGGTGTGAGCGTGAGCATGGCCAGAGCTCCTGCCACACTCAGTCTCTCTGTTGTCTTTCAGGTCAGCAAAGTGGAACGTGAGAAGAACCAGGAGCTGAGGCAGGTGCGCGAGCATGAGCAGCACAAGACTGCGGTCTTGCTCACGGAGCTGAAGACGAAGCTGCACGAGGAGAAGATGAAGGAGCTGCAGGCCGTGCGTGAGGCGCTGCTTCGGCAGCATGAGGCCGAGCTGCTCAGGGTCATCAAGATCAAGGACAACGAGAACCAGCGGCTGCAGGCGCTGCTCAGTGCCCTGCGAGACGGCGGCCCCGACAAGGTCAAGACCGTGCTGCTGTCCGAGGCCAAGGAGGAGGCCAAGAAGGGCTTCGAGGTGGAGAAGGTCAAGATGCAGCAGGAGATCTCTGAGCTCAAGGGTGCCAAGAGGCAGGTGGAGGAGGCGCTGACGCTGGTGATCCAGGCGGACAAGATCAAGGCTGCGGAGATCCGCAGCGTGTACCACCTGCATCAGGAGGAGATCACCCGCATCAAGAAGGAGTGTGAGCGGGAGATCCGCAGGCTGGTACGTGGGCGGGCGTGGGTGCGGGGGCGGGCGTGGGCATGGGTGTGGGCATGGGCTCAGGAGCACACGGGCAGCACCTGGGTGGCTCTGGCTCCCCCCCACCCCCGCCACGGCACTCTCAGCACAGGCTCCTCGTGCCACCACTGTTGGTTTTGAGGACCCCAAATTCATGAGACCACTTGAAAAGGTTCAGACACACCGTCAGCCCCACGGGGCAGGCCAGACTCCCACCTCCCCTTCTCAGCAAGCACCAGCTCTACTTCCTTTCGTAACTTGCACCAGAGCAAGAAACCTGCAAGTCAGCACCGCCCATCCCCACCGCAGGGTTCACCAGTGCCTCCTCTTAGTGTCCCGGGTCACACTTGAGGCAAGGCAGGCCTCAGTGTTTCATGGCAGGAGTTCCACACGTCCTCACAGGGAGACTCAGGGAATTCTCTGGTGATTCTCCAGTTGAACTCACTGGATCCAGAGAGGGGAGACCAGGAGGCCCCGGGGCAGGGAGGGGGCGATGGCCCCCGTCGCCCTGAGGCGCCCGTCTCTGCCGAAGCATTGCACTTGGGGTGGAGCAGAGGAGCTGCTGGTTTTGTGGGTCGGTGAGGTCTAACACTGGCACCTGCACCTGCTGCATCCTAATAGCTCCAGAGACCCAGGCACCCCATGCCAGGCGCCAGGGAAGTCGGTGTTCTCAAAGACCCAGTGTCCAGCTGAAGAGAACGTCCAGAGACTGCAAGGAACTGATAGCCCCCGGTGCCCCTTGTCCTTCGGAGTGGGAACTGTCCTGTAATTTTGGGGGAATGGAGCTCTGAGAGGTGTGCACCCCAGCCCTGTGCCTCATCAGGACCCAGAGCCCCAGGCACCTTGGTGGGATGCAGTGGTCTTGCCATATGTGGCCGGACACCTGGGGCAGCTCCTTCTGCCTGCGTCCCGGGGCTCCTGGTCTCCAGGGGTGGCCTCCAGGCTGCGCTAGCACGTGGAACTCCCAGAGACGGGCAGCCACTCTCTGCACCTGCAGCCAGAAAGGGAGAGCTGGCCGTTGTGGGGTAACTTTGACCTTGCCGTGGCATACACACAAGTGCCCCCAAACATGCCTTTCCAAAGTGGCCCTTGTTCCAACCTCCCCTACACCTCTTTTCCCCGTCCCGAGCCTGCCCTGGTAAGAACCGGGCACTCTCCTCGAATGCCACAGTGCTTGCTTTTCTGTGGGGAGGGAGGAGGAAGTGGCGGCCACCATCCTGGGAAGGTGGGAGGGACAGGCGGTTGCCACTGCCCCGTGCCACGTGGCCCTTTCATGTGTCTGGTTGGATCTGATGTTCTCAGTAGAGGAAGACAACTTTCTCCTTCAGGAAAGGCTCATAAGAGAAACCGCGGTTCCCTGCCGTCGCCTCTCAGCCGCGACGTGAGCCCCAGAGGCAGCTACTGGCAACTCCTCGAGCTGATTCTTCTGGATTTTATTTCAGATTTTCGAAAGCGGGCTCCAGCCTGTTCCCTCACTCCCCATCCCTACCGGGTCTTTCTCCTCCACTCGGGTGTTTTTGCAGGCGGGGCAGGGAGATCCTAAAACTTAGAGCAAAACGCAGACCTTTTTGCCACTCTCTGGGTTTTCTTTTCCCAACTTAAGGGCATCATGTTATGATCTAAGGTCTTACGTTTTAAAGTAAATCAGTCTACTCTGTTTATCTCTGCCTTTAGGATGGGTACTCACTGTGTCTTGTTTAAGAACTCTTTTGATCGGAAGTCACGAAGCTTCATCTTTAAACTTCCATAAATATGGAAGCGTTATATAGTTTCGCTTCCATATTTATACCTATAGCAGCCCTTACTTAAAAGATCGCCCCACCCACAGCGCCTCTCTGCCGGATCCCACGTATCTTCACAAGCGTGGACTTCCAGACCTGTCTGATCATCAGTCCCTCCTCCATCCTGCTTTTTAGAAATGATCCTCGCTCTCTAAAAAGCCTCATTTCGGGAGTAGCACCTTCTCCCACTTTGTTCCCTTCGAGGATAAACTGCCTCTTCTTAGCCCTCTTCTATAGCTCTGTATAAATTTCAGAATCATCTTTTCTCTAAATAAAAAAAAAAAAAACTGTTGAAATTTGGGGATTTTTCACCAAACTGTTCAAGGGCAAATGTTAACAGAGAGTATAATGATTCTCATACAGATATGCAGTGAATACCTGTCGAAGATTTCATTAGCTCATTAATGAGGAAAACAAGTTGTTAACACCAATTCAAATGAGAGTTTGGCCCTCATGAGTCACGCGCCCTGCCTGACAAAAGCCATTGGCATTCCCGTGAGTGGGAGTCCCCTCCATCTGTGCCCAGGACAGGAACCCTTTGCTCACACCCTTCCCCAAGTTTAACTTTGCATTCTGTAGAGTCGTGGGACAGCTGAGTCAGGGATGAAGGCGCAGGCTGTGCAGGGCTCAGCTCGCCCCCAGGGCCCCAGCGTTCGGATACAAGGACAGTCAGAATCGTCTCTGGCCTGTTTCAAAGTCTTACGTGGTTTTCCCCTACAGAATCCATAGATTTGGGACCTCGCCTTTACTTATCGTTTCGATGTTTAAACACAGAGCCGCCCTTGAGGTGGGAAGACCAGTGCTGCCGTGAGAGCCCCCACCGCCGACATCAGGAACTGGGGCCTGCTTGGGTCCTGTGGGGGAAGGGTTGGCTGGGGGCTCACCTCCCAGGCATGGTTAGGCTCAGCCCTCCCCCCAGGCCTGGCTGTTGGAGCCCAGCCCAGTCCGCACGGCTGCTGGGATGCCCTTCCTCTCCTAGCCCTGACCACAGCCACCCAGGCCTCACGAGGGCACAGCTCCTGTTAGTTCGCCCTCAGCCCCCAACCCAGAGCCCAGACGTCTGTCTGTCTAGATCCTGGTTTTGTGCAATTTAAATGAAATAATGAAAATCCCAGGGAGTACTTGGCTCTGTGCCCAGAGCGCAAGAGGTGCCCTCAGGGCATTGGCTGTGGCGATAGAGCTTCCGTTGGCACCAGGAATCCAGCCACTAGGACCCTTTCTTCCTGGGGACCCCATCCCAATGGGGCTTTCTTGCCCAACTGACAAGGGCTGGAGAACCTCAGATCTTCTCCTTTAAGGCTGTCATTTATGAGAGAATACCCGGGCCTCTAAAACCCAGTGGTGATGTGAGGGGCAGCTCCCCAGACCCGGCTGTGAGCGAGAGTCTGGGGTTCAGCCCCCAGGCCCGGCTGCGAGGGAGTCAGGTTGAGGTGTGAGGTGGACGAGCAGGGAGAGCTGGGTAGGTGTGCGGCCACTCCAGCTGCAGGGACTGTGGCACAGCATGGCATCCATCCTTGGGTCAAGGAGCAACTTGGTGAGGATGGGGAAGCCTGGGGTGGAAGCTGCCTAGAGAGCCTTGAAACATGGCTGGAGCAGAAAAGTGAGAGGAAGGTGACCCAGCCCCAGGGGACCGGGGACGTCTGAGGACTGAGTCTGGCTGAGAGAAGAGGCCGACTGGGTGAGTGGGGTCCAGAGGGAGGGACCTGTCCCGAGTGTCAGCAGAGCCAGTGGGTGGAGGTGCAGGGCACCGCTGGGCCTTTGAGCTGGGGGCAGGACAGTGCAGGCTGCAGGCTGCAGGCTGAGGAACGTCCTTCCCAGGTTCCAGGGCAGCTGCCAGCCCAGCTCACAAGGCCCCAGCAAGGCCCCAGCAAGGTCAGGTGGGCCGCGGAGGCCTTGGGGTCTCCCAACAAGAGACCTCAGCAACTATCATGGCTGAAATTCCCACACAATGTTGTTCCCTAACATCAGGTGAACATTTTGCTGTTTCTGTGGCCAAAGCACCAGCTGGCACCCGCATCCCAGAACATCCTGGTGTGGGATGCTCGGCCTGGCTGGGCCCTGGGCGAGGACACAGCAGGTGGTGGCTCTCTGCTGCAGGGAGCACTAGCCTCTGGGAGGAATCAGTCTTTGCTGACAGTCAGACACCACTCCCTCGAGAGCCTTCCCGTGCTGGCTCTCACGCTGGGGTGTGGGCACATGACTGGCCCCGGGAGGGTGATGTCTGAGTCCTGGGGAGGGGCACTGTGCATGAGGCTGGCCTGACCAGGACAGCCGTGGGAGCTGGGCTTTCCATGCCTCCGTCTACTTATGACCGCACGTGTGGCCATAACCCCAGCAGGGGTGCGCTCTCTGTGGGTGCAGCTCCCACGGGGTGGAACCTGTCCCACCACGGTCTGCCCCGAGGACAGTCACGTCTGGCAGGGCCGGTGAGGGAGGGAGGGTCTGAGAGAGTCCTGGGCGTTCAGCACACACCCAGGACCACCGTCTGCTCTTCCCGAAGTGGGCCGTGTGACTGCAGGCTCTCCCTCCCTGACTCTGGCCAGCAAAGCCTCCTGTCTTCACCTTGGGTCTGTTTCGTTCACTACTCAGTCCCCAGCACCTAGGGGCAGGTGTTCAATAAATATGTGTTGGCTGGATTTCAACAAGATGAAGCCTGTTTGGAAAGAGCCCAGCACCCCTGTCCCCACAAAGGCCCAGAGTCAGAGGCCACCTCATCCCCCTGGTTGGCTCCCTGATTGTTGGGGGCTCTGCCTGCACCCTGCCCTGGCACCCCAGCCTTGGCCCAGACACCAGCCTGACTGTAGGTCTTCTGGGCCAAGGCTCCTGGGTGCCAAGGGGAGGCTGCTGCCATCTCAGGGGCCCACTGGGCACCTTGGCCAGCCCTGGATGGGGAGAGATGGGAGGGGCCACACAGCAGGGCAGGACCTGGGTGGGCAGGGCCAGAAGGCGGGCAGGGGCAGAAGCCCAGGTGGGCGGGGCCGCAGCTGCTCTTGGAGTGTGGAAGGCAAGCCCCCCATCTTGTCCTGTAACCTGAAGTGCAGGCCTGGAAATGTGGTACCTGGTGGTGCTCAGGGTCTCAGAGAGGAGGCCAGGTGGCGGGAACATGGGAGGGACCTGCAGGGTGGGGACATGGGGCCAACAGACGCCCCAGACAAGCACAGTCGCTGCTGCCAGGGCATGGCTGCACACGGCAGGGTTGCTAGA